GAGAGAGAAGACGCAAAGTATGCGAGAAGTACTTTACTCCAAGGCTCATTTCAATACAGAAAATATAGGGTTTTTATAATATTTTAAATGTCCTTGAGTTGTTCGAAGATTCTGGAATGCTACTAAACATAGTAGCAGTATAGCAATCAACTAATCAAAACCTCTGCATGTGACGTTTCACTTCCTTGACATTTTTGGCTAAAACTTCGAGTGAACGCTGATTGAATGAAACACTTCTGAGTTTTTTTCTGATGCTGGCTTGTCTTCTGCAGTAACTATACCTCTAAGGTTCTTTATCATCATCCAGATTTACCATTTTTCATATGATGTGCATTTATTCAACTTTGTTAACAGTTTACATTTATTTTTTAGGTTCAAAGTGGCACAGAACAATTAAGCACTGCTACAAAACATCGAAAATCAGCACGACGAAAAAAGTGCATATGTCTTGGTCTTATATTATTGATTTTATTTATTTTAGCTTTGGCAATAGGACTATCTTTAAGACAATAAATAATTCTCAAATTGTTGTCATTTGGTTTTCGTGTTTATTCTCATAAACTATTTCATTCTATCACTAAGTTGATTTTGTTCAAACATACTTTTAACTTTTACAGAAATCAATCGCTTAATGTCTTTCATAATTCATCTTTATTGAACTATAATCTTTCTTTATATCCTTCATCATTTGGTGATGATCTTATGTGAATTTGATTGTATAGTCACAAAGTTATACTAACCAGTGATTGTTTGCTTCTGTGATTTGTATCATGATGGGATAGTAGGAAGATTTTATTTCCTCGCAGAGAATGGTAATGTTTAGTGATAGTCAAACCTTCAAAGTATCGTATTTTGTTATCTAGTAAATGTAAATTGTCTTTGTCAACGTTTCAAAAGTTGGAAAGTAAAGTTGAAGTTGAAACTTGTATTTACAAAACGCTGCTTTCTCCCTAGTCCTTGTGGATTGAAAATGTGCCAGGGGTTTTGTTACATGAGAGAGTCTTCAAAGTTTGAAATTAAACATGAAGACTTGGGGACTGTTACAATACTGGATATACAATGAAAGACGACGACACGATGTGACAACTGAACTTATAACAAATGACAGCTAGTAGGAATAATCCTAAAAAAGCGGGGTTATATATAAAAAGTGCTAGAAGTCATCTGACGAATAAGTAATCGCAACATTCAAGTTTCTTATCTCACTCGGTCTCCTAGATAATTGGAACCTGATTGTCAGATTTAATTTTTGCCGAAATACCTACTTGAAGTGGTCAAGTTGCAATTAAAGGAAACAAATGTGACCTCTGATCTTGCTGCCTCATTCGATTATTCTGAGTAAGCATTCTTGTTTTTCATACTAAGAACAACACAGATAGTCTGAGAAGTTGACTGATCTTACAAATGACATCAACCTAAAGTAGTTCACTAATCTCAACTTGTGAACCGTGGTGGGTCAGTAACTTCGTATATATGTATCTCAGTGATACAATCAAGCTTTTATTCACCGACATTCCGGTTTCTTTAGACTTGGTCTTGCTTAATACAAACGAAAACGTTCTCTAATGAGTCCGCCTATATTAATCCAGATATAAATGCTTTCACAGAGAGTGCGGGCAGTCTCGTCCATCTTTTTATTAGTAATGACACGAAAATTATTGTATTGAATGTGATTTGGTAACTGATGTGACCGCTCCCCAACAAAATCCAGTAACATTCTGTTCATAGTCCTCCCGATCATTGTAGCTCTTTACAACATCTTGTTAAGCATTACAATCATTAGGACAATATACGTACAAACAAACATATAATTCAATAATGAGTTACTTGAACTGGTTTATCGATTTTGCAAATTCTATACGAACATTAAATTACTGATCAATCACTAGTTCAATTCGTTCAAGTTTATTAATTGATTAAGCACTCAAAAGGACATGTGATCTACTGTTGTTGTTATTATGGATGCCGTTCACTTAGTGGTTGGTGTATCAATAATTTCTCTCCCATAGTCTTGATTTCTTTGTGTCGTCAATATAAGAGTGCTGTTCCGTTGTCATGAGTCATAAACACTTATTACGCAGTCAGTTGTACTAATAGCAATAAACTGTGCTGGCGGTGTGCTTGAATATCTGGACTACTTGTCCCTGTTCTCTAGATGTTTCAAAAAGTTATGTCTCCATTTGTCTTAGCACTGTGTCGATTAATCACACAGGCTATTTAGATGAGTTTATGAGAATTTTACGGCCTTTCGTTGTACAAGTTACAAAAAAAGTACAATCGGAGACATCATGGTAGTTGGCAATATCCACTGAAATGAATGAACATTATTCAGATGTCGATTCCTGAACTGCTTACATCTAACTGGTGATCACTAATTGGCAATTCCTACTAAGTCTCAACATGTATCATTGTTGTGATACAATCACAATTCAAGAATTCTAATTGAATTATTTGCAAGACATTTGTTCAGTAACACTACAAAATCTTAATATTTATCGTCATGAATGATCAAGCAATAACATAAGGAAACCATACATATAGTTCCCTTTATTATCCTAAAGGGAGCAAGATTTATTTATTTTAACACATAGATATTGGTACAAGGAGGCACCAAATACATATGCGCCACACAGATCTCATTTGATGTGTGAGAGAGCTTTGATACTACCCGGGTGTCCAAACCGAATCAGGTGGTTTTCATGGGGGGCCACATTCGGAGCCTTCAACCTGAAGCTTTGATCCACAAGGCAGTGGAGCATCGTGAGGAGATGCAGTCCCATGGTAGCCGGCGACCAACAATAGGTTCTGTTGTGGATGCGGAGGAATAGACCAATAATTATCATGTTAAGTCCAATGGTGCCCTTGGACTTGAAATGGACATTCCCTATTGGTCGGTATCTGTTCACTCGTTGAATATTGTACAAAATGTTGTTTTCTATTATATGGTACGATGTGGTATGCTTGATTGGTATATAAACAAAGTATGTTTGAAATATAATGATTCATATCTCAGAGGCTGTGGCTTGTGTTCTGGACTCAACTAACTAGGACAGACAGCGAAGCAGGGCCAATCAGGGCACTAGGTCGTCCCTTACGTGTTAACTGTGACAGTCACCGAATCGATCAATAAACGCTGCTTATCAAAACCTGCAGTCACACCCGTCATAACAGGTCCATAATCCATTTGTCCCCTCAGGATACCGGAGAACATGTGCACCATTGATTTTGAATAAGGGTTTTCCAACTGCCCTAGGTGGATTCTCCGTGTCCACTAACCCGGTCAAAGCGCCAGATACTCGCTCTTCGTCTTCTCAATATCGTAAACAATACCCCCGCCACGAGAAGGCAGTTAGTAGGACTTCCCTGGCAGAGGCTATGATCGCGTGGTTATGTGAGAGCATTTGGAGAGGGAGAGCGGACTCTTGGCCGTACCAGGGCGTTTGGGGGCAAGAACGTAAATTGGTGAAGAATAATAAATGGGTTCATTTTATTTCGTTACGCTCTCATCAGCTGCTTACAACCTTTAATATTTGAAAATGAACGTTATTACATATATATCGACATACTTAGACGTAAAATGGCGATCAAAGATGAATATGTGTATCATGATGTAACGAAGGTGTCAATCGGGTTAATAAGATGATGAAAAACCTTTTGTTTCGGAGAAATAAAGTTTGGCAGTGAAAGTTCCAGAACATTGAATTAATGATTAGAACTCATGGAGTTAACAAACATTAGATGATTGTGTAATGAACTAACTGAAATAGTAATAAAGAAAGGTATGAATTGAAGAAAAATGGAGTTGGATTGTTTGTGAATCACGTTGAGAGACTTCAGTGTATCGACTTCATGTCCTGTCTCCTAGAACTTTCCCTCCCAAACTTTATTTATTAACTCTATTGAAATCTTCGTTACATTATGACATATATTCATCTTTAATCACCCCCTTATGTATAAGTATTTCGATATCTGTAATAATGTTGATTTTCAAATATTACAGGTTGTAAGCAGCTGATGAAAACCTAACAAAATAAAATGAATCCATTTATTATTCTACAGCAATTATTCATTCTTGGTCTCTTTAAAGAGGAAACCTGTTGAATAACTTTATACGGACAATTCTAAATTGATATCAGAAGGCGTTTTGTGGATATTATAGTAATTTCAATGGTTGAGATCATGAGTCAATTGAAGTTAGACCACTGTGGAAAACTTAGAAGCACTGGAAGGCCATTTCGTCCTATTATAGGACTCCTTAACAATGCACATACACGATACCGCCTCGCCAGATTCGAATACAGGATCTAACAATCTCTCATGCAAACGCTTAACCTGTAGACCGGCATTCAAACGGTGTTATTGTACCAAAAATAGAATATAATGAATAAAGCCATTAATAATAATAATAACTATATCAAATCCAAGTCACATTAATAACATACAACGTGGATAGTACAGTGAGAGAACATATACATATATATATATATATATATATATATATATATATATATATATATATATATATATATATATATCAAATTTTGTTCTCCCTATCAACATAATAAACAATAATCTTTATTTCTAACAGAAAATTGTAACAAAATAAGATTAGCAATTAAAATATACCTTGAGATGGATAATACTCATCCTATTAATATGATAATAATAACTGAATAATACAAAAAGATCATACAAACCATATAAAATAAACAAATATGATTTGGATTCCAGAAGAATTTGTTCATATATAAATAGAAAAAAAGGGGGGGGAACAAACCCACTTAGTGACAATAATAAATTTCAATGAAAGACTAACATTTTTGGCAGTTTTAGAAAAAAAGTGGGCGGGGGTGGGTAGGGGAAAGTGAGCAGCCAGAAGATTTCGGTCAAATTGTACATAGAAAAACTGTGAACACTGTACATCTTTTGTTTGATTACGGATACTACTCATTGGCGAATGTTGTTAATTCATTGATATATATATATATATATAAGGTACTTTAAGTCAATGGTGATGAATCCAATGATGCACGTTGAAATAATTCAATTAAATAATTTAAACCATATAGAAAATTTTCATCTTTTATTTGACTACAATCTGTTACTAATTCCCAACGTGTAAAATCAATTAAATATACTAAAACATATTCATCTGCTTCATTATTATCTATGTTGGATATAATTGATTCTTTATTGTTGTCTTGACAACTATGATGATGATCATGATCATGATGATAATATGAATATGGTAACTGGGTGGTGGTGGTGGTGGTGATTGTATTCGGAGATGACATGATCTCATCATTGGCATCAACACTATCATAAGCTAATAATAAAGAACTTGCATAGAAATGATAACAATTTTGATTTTCAAACCATTTAGCTAATTGTGTTAATTTTTTAACAAATTGATTAGCTAATCTTTTTGCACGATTTACATCTGGACCAAGAAATAGACGAATACCTTAATAAATAAAAAGTATAAATATAACAAAAATCGATAAATAGAAATACATATTTCAATGATGAATCGATCTATGTTAGACCATCATTCAAAATGTGGAAGTAATAGACGGTTGTTTCGTCTTAATATGAGACTCGTCAGTTGTATGCGCCCATATCACCGCACGTGGTTTCGTACACGAACGCTCCACCCTTAAACAACTGGGCTGATATCCAACAGTATTAATCTCTAACTTTAATCAATCTACGATACTCCGAGAACAATTTCCATTGTCTACGCAAGATACTCAACATCCATTGGCGGGATACCATCAGCAACAGACTTCTGTAGGAGAGAACAAACCAGCTTCCAGCTGAAGAAGAAATTAGTCAAAGACGATGGAAATGGAGAGGACATACATTACGCAAATCATCAAGCTACATCATGAGGCAAGCCTCGACTTGGAATCCTGAAGGAAAGTGCAAAACGGGAAGGCCAAAGTACACATTACATCGGGAAATAGAAGCAGATATGAAAAGGATGAATAACAACTGGAAAGGATTGCCCAAGACATGGTTGGATGGAGAATGCTAGTGAGCGGCCTATGCTCCTTAACGAGAAGTAACAGGCGTAAGTAAGTCAATGGAAAAACTACCGCACACTCCGACACAGTATAAGATACTTCAAATTACAAATACAGTTGATATACTTTATGCCTTAACTAGATTGTATTCAATCAACCAACTTATCTGTAGACAATGAACACATTTGTTTTTATTAAGAAATATACTTGATTGTATGATAGTTTCTATTAGTATAGGCAGTTCATCATATTTGTCTGGCTGTAAAAGGTCGGATCTACAACGCGTCGGTGAGAGCAGTTTTGCTCTATGCTTGTGAAACCTGGTCTCTCCGAGTTGAGGACGTTAGACGACTCTCTGTGTTCGGTCATCGTTGTCTCCGAAGGATTGCTGACATCCAGTGGCAACACCATGTCAGTAATGCAGAGGTTCGGCATAGTGTGTTCGGGCACAGAGACGATAATGCAATTGGTGTCACCATCTTGAAACACCGACTTCGGTGGCTTGGACATGTTCTCCGAATGTCGTCCCAGAGAATTCCACGTCGTGCATTATTTGCCGACTCTGGGACTGGTTGGAAAAAGCGGAGAGGTGGTCAGTGCATGACATGGTGTCGTGGTATGAAAGAAAGCTGCAAGGGACTGGCTTCTGTCGGTCCTTCACGACTCCCTGGTTGGGGTCTGAGAGATGGTGCGACACAGTGGCTAGAGACGTTATCAGATATGCTCAGAATAGAAGCCAGTGGCGATCCTGCTGTAACCTTCTTTTACTTTCTTCATAAAAAGTGGTTGTGTCTCCTTTACCTGAAAGATTTCTTCCGATTGTACCTTTGCGTTCCCTCATTATTAGTATTATTATTACTACACTACCTTACACCAACCTCTTCGTTATTGTTCTCTTTTTTTTCACGCTCCTTAATTTTTTTGTTCCTTGTCTTTAAATTCTAATTGTTTTGTGTGGCGCATATATATTGGCGCTCTCTTGTACCAATATTCATGTGTTCAAATAAATAGAATAAATTCTATTAGTATAATTAATCACTGATATTCTTCATCATTCAATAGTAAACTATAATTCTTAACTTGATGAAAATGATTATAATTGTTGCCAATTAATGAATATTCTAGAAATCAAATTGTCTGATAATAAGAATATTAGAATTTAGTCATTAGAAATGAATGATATCTGTTCACAATTAAATGATGTTTATATATAGAAGGTTTTTAGTTGGACCGGTTAAATACTTGTACTAGTAAACAGTAAAATTAAGAATATATTTTCAATTACAAACATGAATTGTCTTCATTTGTTGACAAGTTGATTATACTGCATAAACTGATCATTGGTAAACGAACCATTATTGTTCACATGTTAATTGAAATAGGATGATTAATTTGCGTTATTGCATAGTGATTAGTGCTGAGAAGATAGGATATTGCATTTTTATATATTGATTTGAACATATAAATATTGGTACAAAGGGGCACCAAATACATATGGACCACACAAATCAAGTGATTTGTGTGCGGGCTGTGATCCTAAACGGGTTCCCAAAACGAAGCAGGTGGTTTTCTTAAGTGGCCACACCCTAAACCTTCGACCTAAAGGTCTGATCCACAAGGCAATGGAGCAGTGTTAGGGGATGCAGTTCCATGGAAGTCGGTGACCAATAATTGGTTCATATACCATTTGTTCGCTCAGGATCGTGGAGCCCATGTGCTCCATTGATTTGGAATGAGGGTTTTCCAACTCCCGTAGGTAGATCCTCCATATCCACCTATCCGATTAAAGCGCCGGACATTCGCTTTTCGTCCTCTCAATTTCGTAAACAATAGTAATGCGGTGGGATGGCTGTGAGTAGGACTTCCCTGGTAGTGGTTATATGAGCGTGACCATGTGAGAGCACTTCGAAATGGAGAGTAGACTCCGCACTCTCGGTCGTACCAGGGCATTGTACTCAATGATAAACTCATTAAACTGAATAAACTAATGAAAATAATGAGAACGTTGTCAAAATATGACATAAGAAGCTTTACAAAACCTCCAAGTGTTGACGTTCGTTGAGTACACATGTTCGTATACATATCTCATTGTGACTTTGTTGGTTGCCGCTTTCTAACTATTTAATAACAATCCTGTTATGTAAACATTTCAATTTATATCATACAACATATTCCCTGTCAATTAAAACAAGAACACTGGATCTATATCTGAAATTCCTTGGAATTATAAATAGATTATGTTATATGCCGATGAGAATAATGAATGATAACTGTTGGAATATATTTCTGGACTAATACTATACATATTTTCTAATTGTGTAATTGTTAAGTAACTAAACTATGCATATTCGTGTTCCTCCTATTAGAGGCTTTATTTTGACCCATAAACTATTATTATACGTTTTACCATTCTTGAGTTATGCCCTGTCTATCAATTACTATCTCCCACATTCACAGCCACATTTAGCTATGGTACAATGTGGTTTGTTCGCTTGGTATATAAACTCAGTATGCTTGAAATATAAGATTCATATCACAGAGGCTGAGATTGGTGTTTTGGACTCAACAAACTAGGCTAATCAGGAATAAGAACTGATAAATACTCTAGATGGTTCGTATGGGTTTTATGCATCATTGGTTCGGTCGATAAATTACCATTCTCTAACTGGCAATATCACATTACGTTATACATTGATAGGGGTACAAACCGACAAGTTGTTATAACCTGTGAACATGCAACATTCTCTTTAAACAACCTTTTTTTCTCGAAGAATTGATTGAATACGTTCATTATAAATTCAATATTAAGAATTAGTTATTAATAAATAAACATGATCTAAATAGTAAATACATCCATATACATAGATTGAATTCTATTGTTATTATATAAACAAAATAAACAATCTAATTACCATTATCATATATTGTAGATGGATTTAATGATCTGCCAAAGAAAATATCAAATGTAGTATATTCATTAATATCTGGATAGAATACCTAAAATTGAATAGATCAAGTAATTGATTATAAATAATATTGGGGGGAAATTGGCATGAATTGAAATATAATATAGTTTACTGATATAAATTGTATTGCCCTGAAATTCCCTGGTACAGCCGAGAGTGCGGAGAGTCAGCTCTCCCTCTCCAAATGCCATCACATAACCACGCGATTATAGCCTCTGCCAGGGAAGTTCTACTCACTGCCTTCTCGTGGTGTTGCTGTTGTTTACGGAATTGAGAGGATGAAAAGCGAATGTCCGACGCTTTAACCAGGTTCGCCTAGGGCAGTTGGAAAACTCTGATTACAAACCAATGGTGCACATGGGCTCAAGTATCCTGAAGGAACAAATGACGTATGAACCAATCGCTGGTCACCGGTTTCAATGGGACTGCATCCCCTAACGTTGCTCCACTGCTTTGTGGATCAGACCTTTAGGTCGAAGGTTCGGGGTGTGGCCCCCTATGAAAACCACCCGTCTCGTTTTGGGCACCCGGGTAGTATCAAAGCCCTCACACATATCAAATGAAATTTGTGTGGCGCATAAGTATTTGGTGCCTCATTGTACTAACATCTATGTGTTAAAATAAATAATAAGTAAGATGATTATCAGATTAGTCTTTGTTTTTGTTACCTTATATAATAGGAAATTGTTGTGTTTTGATTAATCGACAAACATGTCCTTCAATTGAAATGAAAATATGTTAATTAAATAATATTAAAATACATTTTATTTAATTTCAAGATAAATTGGTTGATAAAAATCACTTATCTTGAAAGTCTGATCAGACCTAATGGATTGGGGCCTTATGAAATCTCTGCACCGATTCGAAAGTCTAATTTGGTTCTTGAGAATTTACGTCACCTATAGCGAGGGCGAGATATCTGTCTATCAATTAAGGGGCAAGTATACTGCGCGGCAGTACGTTCTGTCCTGTTTTACGGCTGCAAAACATGGCCATTAAGAGTAGAAGATATTCATAAGCTACTAGTATTTGATCACAGATGTCTTAGAACTATTTCTCACATCTACTGGGATCACCGAGTAAATAAGTTACTATCGACGAATCTAGGTGGATAACCGTTTCTGATGAGAGTTTGTCGAAGTTGAATTACTTCTTCATCTATTGTGTCAGTGGAACAGATTCGCTTGATTCTAGAGGATAAAGAGTGAATTACGCTCCTCTCTAGTCAACTTAACACCTAGAATTCATCATGAGGAAGTATCGACAGTACAAAAGAAAACCCTGTTCATGAATATGGGATTTAAAGAAGACACGGCTGCTGAAATCTTAAATAAACGGATTTCAAAATCATTCAATAAAACTTTCTACACAGCCAAGCTCCGAATCGTTTTCTCAAGTCGGCCTACCATTCCTGGATGTGTTAAAGATAAACCTTCGCTTTGGGCCACATCAATGTGTATTTATAAATTTACGTGCTCATGTGGGGCTCGTTATATAGGTCGAACAAAGCGATCACTTTCCAAACGCATCTTAGGACACTATCCGGCTTGGCTTGTAAAAGAAGAATGTAAGACAATCACTAGTTCTATACAGAAGCATTTAATCAATTTTGGACACACCGCTCCCAAGTATTCTTTTAAAGTGACCTACTGAGTCAAAGGAACTGTGATCGAAGAAGTGTCGAATCAATATTTCAAGCACTGCTGAGGCATTGGCAATCCATGAACTTAAGCCTGAACTTTGTGTGCAGAAACGATTTGTCCAACTTCTCATCCTTCCTAGCCCCTAATCCCCTTGATGGGTATGTTTCTGGGTTTCTTTTTCTGCATTTTTATTTGATTATTATAGAATTTTTAAAATTACTATTTTCCACTTCAATCAGTTAGTATTATTATTACCTTATACAAGTTTTCCTGATTATTATTCAGTCTATTATTATGACCATTGTGTTTGTCGCTTTTCTTCATATCAGTCAATTGGATTATTATCTAACTCCTTGATTAGTACACGTAACCTCATTTGTTATTTAGTCTCGAATCCATTTTTGTGATGCAATCTTTTCCATTCTCCTATAGACATATATTTTCCATACATAACTATATATACGAAAGTACAGTTTAAATAAATGGATTTCGTTGAAAAGAAAATTTTCTTTGCTGAATTCTCTTTTTCTTATTCAATGACACTATGGGTTATTTTAATTATTTGAATGGCATACAATTTTCGTAATAAATACAGTGAATAGTAACAACTGTTATTTATTTATTTGAACATATAAATACTGGTACAAGGGGGCACCAGATACATATGGACCACATAAATCTCATTTGATTTGTGTGGGGGCTGTAATACTGTCCGGGTGCCTAAAACGAAGCAGGTGCTTTTCTTCGTGGGCCACATCTGGAGCCTTCGACCTAATTGTCTAATCCACAAGGTAGTGGAGCAATGTTAGGAGATGCGGTCCCATGGAAGCCGTTGACCAACAATAGGTTCATACTCCATTCGTCCCCTCAGGATCCAGGGTTTTCCAACTGCCCTAGGTGGATTCTCCGTGTCCACTAACCCGGTTAAAGCGCCAGATACTCGCTTTTCGTCCTCTCGATTCCGTAAACAACAGCAACGTCACGAGAAGGCAGTGAGTAGGACTTCCCTGGCAGAGGCTATTAACGTGTGGTTATATGAGAGCATTTGGAGAGGCAGAGCTGACTCTTCCCACTCTCGGCTGTACCAGGGCATTTGGGGGCAAGAACATAAATTGATGAAGAATAATAAATGGATTCATTTTATTTCGTCACGCTGACTCTCTCCACTCTCGGTTGTACCAGAGCATTTTGCGGGTAGTGACAAATGTACTTTTGTATTGAACATAATTCAATTAAATTAGAATAGAAATAAAATAAATTAACTAATCTTACTTTTAATCCAGTTACTAGAAATCCAATTTCTTCACGCCATTTATATTTTGCACATTCAATCATTATTTTCGATGGTGAAGAATCAGGAGCATATGTACGACGACCCATTTTTAAATCGCATAATGATGGATGTTTAAAATTAGCCAATAAATCTTTTAAACCCAAGTACAAATCTATCTTGAGTTGAATATTTTTTTAAATAATAAGCGAGTGAAAGAAAAAGAAAAGGGAAAAACATTGAAAATATTTGACAGATATGAATTTAGAGTAACAGTTAAATCTTCAGAAAATGGAACCACATAATAAATATTCAGGAATTGATAAAAATCTAATTATGTTAAACATCGGATTATACCTGACGACCTTCAAGTTGTGTTCGGTTTCAAATGACGTCTAACGCTGACTATTTTTTAACATTCTAAATGTATAGAATCCCCATTCACGATCAAATTTATGACTCACAACACCAGAGACAGCCAGGCATATGCTTCCAAGTGTGTAGCTACTTGTTTTGGATGCAGAGGAATAAACCAATAATTATCATGTTAAGTCCAATGGTGTCCTTGGACTTGAAATGGACATTTCCTATTGGTCGATACCTGCTCACTTGTTGAATATTGTACAAAATGTTGTTTTCTATTTTTATGGTACGATGTGGTATGCTTGGTTAGTATATAAATAGAGTATGTTTGAAATATAATGATTCATATCTCAGAGGCTGTGGCTTGTGTTCTGGACTCGACTGGCTGGGCTGGACTGGACTGGACAGGGAAGCAGGACCAATCAGAACTGTAGGCCGTCCGTTCGTGTTTACGTGTCACTGTAATCAATCGATAAGTATGCTGCTCTCTAATTTTCCAGTCAAGGACACAACAGTTAGCACAGGGTAAAAATCGACCGCAACCTAAAGTCATAACACTACTTGTTGGAACTTTCTTAGGAACATGATCCTAAGTATAAAGATGCTTGATTTGTATCAGACGATATAGATTTCTTATATTTTTAGTTATGAACAAGAGGTTCTCTATTACTGTTAGAATCATGATAGGTTGTCACTTCCCGGTCATTTATACCATGGAAAGATACACTTTCTTAAAGAACTTGTTAAGGAAACTGGATTAGTAGTAGCTTTAGCAACCTGAGAGCTTGATAGCAGATATCAAGGGATAACTACTTGAGGCCAGTCATACTTGGCCATATTACGAGGTTTTGATGTGTCAGCTACGTACTTCAAAGGCCTTACCGCCGAATACAGAAATATGTGGAGTAAAATTTCCAAGGTCAACCTGTTCTAACTCCTCTCTTCTGTTGGGTAAAGGCAGTATTGCTGTAGATACTGATTATCTAAAAAAAACACCTCACTGTCGTCACACTCCAGTATAGTCGTCAATACGAATTCTCCCTCAAGTCGAGTGGTTGATAACTGGTTGATAAGACTTAATAACAAAGTACTCTTTGTTTAAAGGTGAGTTATACTAGTAGGCTGTCAAAACTGAAGCAGGTAGAGTGAAGTTTGAACTTGTAATCCTATAATTGAGTGTCGAGTGATTCAACCCTTATGTTACTTCTTTATTGAGAGACCATACGGGAAAGACAGACAATATAACAACAATACAAGACGCGAGAGATACAACAGATAAGACCAGAGGAAAATTTCATGTTTCGCAAACAAAGCTATAGTTGATGGTTTAGCCATTTGACCTGTGAGTTTAAATGTTCTAACATTTACTAAGGTGTGAAATGTACCTCAAATAAACAAAGAAACTCATATTCTTACGCATACGCCTACGTATGATCCCTGACCACTCATTTTTAGATCCCTTAACTTGACAGTTTTACTCGAGAATTTACAAGTCCTATAAGAATGGAAACATAAACTTCCCTACTGAGATTTTCAGGACAATAATAATTGTCAGGAAGATTTGAAATTTGTACAAGTGAATAGCAAGTATTACTGATCAAACTGCCACTATATTTCTGAGTTTTGCTTTTTTCTATGTCTCTCCTCTTTCAATCGTTTGTTAAAGTCTAATGCTTTTCCAGTATTCATTTCTCTGATACTTTGTTAATATTGAATTGGGCGGCCTGCTTGAGCATCTGGGCTACCTGTTCCTGTCATCTAAATATTTCAACAAGTTATCTATTTTTGTTTGTTTTAATATATCATTATGTATATTAATCGCATAACCCATCCTTGTGCATTTCTGAAAAGTTTACAACCTTTCGTTGTCAAAGTTACTAAAAGCTCAATAAGAGATAATGTGGTCGCTGGCAATATGCAGAGAAAAGAATATACATTATTCAGATGTTTATTTACTGGACTACTAACATCTAACTGGCTATCACTCAATATTTATCGTCAGGATCGACCCAGAAGAAAGAAACGGAAACTTGTTGAAATACTTTGTGCTGAGAATTCTATATTGTACCGAAAATATAATATTGAATAAAGCTTATAATAATAATAATAATAAAGACAATATGCAGAACTCTAATATTAGTTGCTACCCTATAAATGGTGTAAAACTCTTACTAAGTCTGTTTATCAGTTATTAATAAATAACAATTCCTCACCAGTTTACTTTTCTTAATATCCATCAATAGTATATCATTTAAATAGTATATAAATTTAATATCCCCCAAATGCCCTGGTACAGCCGAGAGTGGGAAGAGTCAGCTCTGCCTCTCCAAATGCTCTCATATAACCACACGTTAATAGCCTCTGCCAGGGAAGTCCTACTCACTGCCTTCTCGTGACGTTGCTGTTGTTTACGGAATCGAGAGGACGAAAAGCGAGTATCTGGCGCTTTAACCGGGTTAGTGGACACGGAGAATCCACCTAGGGCAGTTGGAAAACCCTGGATCCTGAGGGGACGAATGGAGTATGAACCTATTGTTGGTCAACGGCTTCCATGGGACCGCATCTCCTAACATTGCTCCACTACCTTGTGGATTAGACAATTAGGTCGAAGGCTCCAGGTGTGGCCCCTTAATAAAACCACCTGCTTCGTTTTAGGCACCCGGACAGTATCACAGCCTCCACACAAATCAAATGAGATTTATGTGGTCCATAGGTATCTGGTGCCCCCATGTACCAGTATTTATATGTTCAAATAAATAAATAAATAAAATTTAATACATTAACAAATCTATGTATATTAACTCACGTTTTTGTTCAGAATCTCGATAGAGGCCATAAAAATCAGGCACAAATTTTCGTAACTCAACTAAAACGGAATCATTGCAATTTGGATCGAATAAACGTTGATAAAATTCTAATTCATGTGGACCTTTAGGATAATGTTGTATTGGTTTATAAATAGTTGACTGAACATGTGAATATAATACTAGGATATTTGAGAAAAGATGAAGAGAATAGAATACAATTATAAAAGATAGAAAGTTCTAATTATGTAGCTAGTCCATACTCCATTAACTATGATATAAAATGAAGATTTTCAATGGGTGATAATTTACGTACCGGTAGAAAATATTAAGATATAACTCGATATAGAATAAAATAAATGATATTAGGTCATTCAACTGAACGATGGAGTGGTACTTCCAAAACTGTACAGAAATCGAGACTAAACATTAGAAGATTCTGTTGGTTGTGTTGTCTAACAAACAGTAAGCGATAGTTCAATATTATGTGAAATTTAATATTTTTATGGTTAAATGAGTTGTAAATCTTCTAAGCATTTTAGTAAACATAATTTTAAATCATCTCCTCGTTGACTCTATGCAGAATCTGCCAGCATGATAATGACAAAACAGTTTACTCATATCTCGTTTACTTGGTAATTAGTGTTAGCGTACTTTGTATTATCATCGAGTTCAAAATACGTTTATAAGTCTGAAAGAAGACTGTTACTGCGCTAACTTTTACTGATGAACAGCTAAAAGTTGAGAAATTAGTGTGTTTGACAAAATGGTAGCGGTGTCATGTCGAATGAGAATCATTTATGCATAGCGAAAGTTGAGGCGAGATAGGCACAGTTGAGGTAGGCTAGGATCCGTCGGTTTATTAAATCTTTTTGTTTAAAGCCCTGAATGTGGTAAACCCCAATATTTCGGTAAGCTACCATAAATGCCTTAGAATATAAGCTATTCATGATACTAATGTTTGTATTGTGTTTTTCATAAATAGTACATTCCATGTACTTTATTTCAACTGTCTCCACTAATACGTTGTATTTCTGATTTAAATATATGACATATTAGCATATACCTCTTTAAAATATTGAATTGTCTTTGTCATATTGTGCTATTATACATTTCGCTTTGGTATAAGCGAAGCAGAATATTAAGATGATAAGCACAGAAAAATAAATCTGCAACTACCTAGTAAGTAACTGCAGAACTAAATTGTCAAACACAACTTCATCTACTTATTGATATTTGCTGTATATTATTTTCTTTAAAGCCAAACGGCAAGACCATAATTTATAGACCAGCACAATCAGATTTAAGATAGTAGATCTTGGATTTTGAAGCGAAATTCATTCGGCTGAATACTATTTTGACATTACAGCTGGTATCGGTTCGTGATGAAAACAATAAACCCAATTCTTAACCGTAATGTTCAACTGTTAATCCTAATCCTAGTACCTCACACTAATATATAATCCAAGGTCATTTTAGCGTTGCTCAAAGGTCGTCCAGAAACTGTCGTTCCACCAGCCAAATGATTTCAACTTGGACCATCTTATTAATTCATCTTAATTTTGTTAGTCGAAAATTCTGTATACAAGGATAATACCTGGTCGGTATAGACAGTTTATATGTGAGTAATCAGGTACAATAAGTGAAAAATAAATGGTCATGGGAACCCACTTACTATAATTAAGTCTTTTATTACATCTAATTAGTTGATGGATAAGTATATCACAAGAATAAAAAAGCACATCCAATGCTAAATGCACAAGAACGCACAAATATCACATGAAGGTTCATCGGTTCAGTATGTTACGCTTTGAGATAACAAAGACATGAGTTTTATATACCCTGTGTTATATCCGGTGGAGATTAAACTACAGGTAAATTCCAAGGACTATTCATGGACTAATATTCTATAAATATTCTTATTGTATAACTACTCAACAATTACACTATGGATATTTATATTCCTTTTATGATAAGCTTTATTTTGACCTATAATTTATTATTGTACGATTTACGGTTCTTAAGTTATGTTCAGTTTATTAACTACTGCCTCCCACATTCACAGCCACTTTTTGGGCTTATTTGTGTACAAATATTATTTCCTATTTTATGGTACGTTGCGGTCTGTGTGATTGATATATAAACCAAGTATGCCTGAAATAAACGATCTGCTCTGATTCGAAGCTGGTATTGTGTTCTGAACTCAAGTGGAAGGGCTCGTAGGACATAGGACCAATAAGGACGCTAAACTGCCCACACCGGTTGAACGTCATTGGTTGGCTTAGTGTGAAGATTCGTATAAGTCGTATTCGGATTGGTAGATAAATCGCGTGATAAGAAAGTCAGACATCCAAGGTCATAACACCCTGAAATATTAATCCTAAAATACTAACTTTACGACAGTTTCGGTGGTAAAAAATGGAAAAATTGAGGGTCCTAAATTTATCTCACGACCACATATAGCCAAATTTCGATGAGTATTTATGTTCACATACAAACCCAAACTCAGAACATATTGTTTTAAATGTTTGTTATTCTATGATCTACTGATGTTAAAGTTATTATAAAACAACGTTATAAACTCAATTCACAGTTTTACCAGAATCCAGTTTGTAAGTAAACTGTGGCTGGTTTATGTCTACGAGCAAGTTGTATGAACAGCGCAATAGGTAGTACGTTACTTCAAAACCCAACCCACCCCAAATTTGGTTTACCTAGCGCGTAGTGTATTGATAATCATATCAGATATGACCAAGTCTAGTACAAGAAACCTCTATTTGGTGACTCATCCACGTAATAAGGAGCATGATAAATAAAATCACTGAGTGTATGCCAGTACCAAAATCTGTTAAATTTTCCCTTCTGTAGTTAGTTTTTGAGAGCATTTGAAACTAAAATAAGACTTTCGACTGTTGATTAGATGTCACGGATATCCATAAGAAACAATGTTACATAAACTTGCCTAAAGACAAGCCTAGAACCAATCACTTTAAATATATGAATGAATCTCCATTTTACACAAATTCGGATTAATAACGAAGTAAACATTTTTGAAAGAAAAAACGGTAAATGAATAAACGCGTTTAAAAACATAGGAAGCAAAAATGCGATCAAGTAATCAGAAAGTCACATTCGTTGGTACTTTTCTCATAGGTTATATCACTAGACATATATATTGCATAAATACTAATAATACTATTAAAACGTCCAAACTATCGTGGATAGGATGACTTTTAGGACAAATATGAAATACTTGAGTGCCAATAGTTTAAGCTATTTTAACCAGTGTCTACAAAGCAATATAATACCAGTGAACATGATTCAAAGTAACTAATAAAACAAATTGTACAACCAATGTTACAATTTATACTAGATAAAAAAATCCACTTCACTAACAGCTTAATGTGTAATAACAGACCATGTCTCAGTGTTCTGTGTGCACTTACAAATATACTTTGGTTTGTACACAGCAAACTTTTTTGACACAACTTGGTTAGCACATAGGACTAGGCAGTATGAAATTGGTTAATATCTAATGACAAGCTGGTGTAACAATTTGGAACTGGAACCAACTCACGACATTTTAACGAAATCTATCGACTGAAATCACAATTAGAACAATTCAAAACACACGTTTAAAAATAACAGAATCATTCAGATATTAATTTAAAACTACTTACTTTTACATTTATTTCCAAATAGAAGCCCATGACCACCGATTTGGTTAGGATAATTGATCAGATCTGACGGCAACAAAGAACTACTTTCAAACAGATAATTCAACTTGTTAGTTTCATCATTCGTGGAATCCCATTTCTGGTTGACAATCATTTAACTTTGTAGCATTACTAGCAACAAATATTAGTTATTAAGTGGGTACTCTCAGCAAAAAATTACCACCTATTTAAAAAAGTCACTGGCTAAAGACTTCATTGATATTATAAGAGCTAATCGAGACAGTTACGGACAAAATAACAGCCAAAATATGTAGACGACAGATTATGGTCTGACTTGTGTACAGAAGTACCTATTATTTAGTCTGCGTTATAGGTATCAAAAACCAGTAGTTGGAAGCTCTAGTTAGGTTGGTTGAATAGTTGGACACCATTTTAGTCATTTAATACTTACGCCCTATTAGCTTGCATACCTTCTGTTCATCCTAACTTACTTCTTTTGTAATTTTTTTCTCTGTAGTGTTATTGAGCTTTACAACCTAAACCTAAGCACGTTTGTGAGAGGTTGAATGTTGTGCTGATTATCGTTGGAAGCTAAATGCAACAGGATTGTGATGCAAATAAATAACTTCTACGATCCATATCATTACACAATATTTGGAGTTGTGCTGCGTAAATTAATGGACTATAAAGATCTAGGAGTGGCGAGACTATAATTTATTAGAGCCATAACAAGCAACAACCTCAAAACAACGAGTAACTGCAAGGCCGCTTCTACCAAAGACTCCAGGGTCATACAGGCTATTTTTAAGTCATTGCATTAATTGGACGGAAAAAGGTTTAGGGTATTACAACTGACTTTTGTGAGACCACATTCGGAATATGGAATTCAAGCAGCGAGTACTTTTCCAATTATGAGGCGGATATGCTGGAACGAGCTTAGCGGCGAGGTATCAAGACGGCAGGTCCTTCTGGCCCATCTTAGGAAGACAGACCGAGACGCCTCAACTTATTTCCATTATCTTATACAGGTCATTTGTGACATAATACTACCTCAGTGTAAACACAATGATGACTTTGGTATTGATGTCGTATCTTTTTCTTTCATCTGGGATTGATCATCTGAGAGGACATTCTAAGAAGGCTAAAAAACCGAGATCGAATCGCTTACGTCTGGAGTTCCGTTTCTAAGACCGAGTAGTGAATACTTTAAAATGACGTGCAATAACATCACCTATAAACACATTCAAAGCGAGATTGGATCTCCGCAATACTACAAATTCCAGTGATTAATATAGGTCGATTGACCTCTTATCCTTCCTATTGAAGACTGAGAAATTGATACGAGCCTGAACTAAAGACAATTTGACAGTCGTAACTAGAAGTTGGTAGCATCAGATTTTGTTTTCATCAAAGGTGTAAAAGTTCGCGTTTAGCCCAAATGTACTTTTTTGATGGGAATGGGCGTATGGAGCATCGTGTGTGAAGCTGGAAATTTCCAAGAGAAAAATAAAAGATGTCCGTGAGCCGACGGGTCAGTGTGGGCACGAGATGTACTTATATCTATTAGCAAAGAAAGTCGATAATAATTGCCAATATCGCAGGAGTCAAGCTAAAAGAATTCGATAACCAAGAATACAAGTGCTAACATGGGGACTCATACCCAAAACAGGAGATCTCAAAACTTGCGCAGTATCTTTGTTTAGTGTTCCAAGACAGCCAGCAGGTTCAAACAAAAACGAGTCTTAGTATCAAGATTAAGTGTGTTGACCCTTGCAATACTGTCTCTATAAGACTCACTTTTCCCTAAAAAGCTATAAATGTGATAAAACCCGAGGCTAAACTGGGAGCACACCACTTTTGACTTTTCATCACAATAGCGTTTCATCACCCAATCGAATGTTGTATTGCATCTACTTTTCCATGATTTCTATACCAAACATGTCAAATTCTCCGTCGAAATACATTAATTTGATAGGAGAATCACTATATTCATCTGTACTCTTAACCAACTTGATAAAAACGCCTGGAAACCAATTGCTATCTCCTCAAAAAGATTCACTCCAGAAAAGACAAGATATTTTACTTCCGGGCGAGAACTTCTTCCAATCTACTTGACCATTTAGCACTACCGACACATGTCAGAAGGCAGGGAATTCATAGCTGTTACGGATAACAAACCACTGACCAATGCACTAAGAGCTAGAGTCGATAAATACTCACCTTGAGAAGTCCAACACCTCGACTATATATCACAGTTCACAAGTGGTAATCTTCTTGTCAGATGTCAGGAAGACCAGGCGGCAGATGTATTATCTCCACTAGAAATGACTGTGATACAACAGTCTACAGTAAATTTCGAGACGTTGAAGGACAGACAAGAATAGGACCAAGAATTACGAAACCTGCTTACAACAAACAAGTCTAGCCTCAAACTAAAGCAGTTACCATCGCCTATTGACGGTATTCTAAATAAAGACCTATTCACTGCTAGTCTGGTTTCTTCTATCAATAGCACGAGGGTTACCTACAGGCACGAAAGATTAATTTAGACTTAATCAACGTGCAAATTTTATCATTTATGTCTTCACCAAATTAATTCCATTTGTGCAATTCTTTTTATTTATCGTATAAAGTTTGTATAAATTATTTTATTCAGTTACGTGGATGTGTTTGTCATACCAAATGTAGTTTAACATATTAAGCTCACTTCTCTACTAAAATCTTGTTCTCGCCAAAGTTGCCGTTATTCCATTAGATTTCTGGAACGCCTGTCGATGTTTTAGACATCGTTATGTTCGACTCTGTCGCTGCATTCATAGCTTTCTTCTGTGGGTCACCAACGTAAATAACCTATGTAAATGATTGGGGGCCAATTCAAGCTGTTCAAGAAAGCTGCGGCCTCCTAACTCATGTCGTAGTCGGACGCTTGTCATACGCAGATAAAACTTTGTGCAACTTTTTCATTCATGATTTCCTTATCATTTACTAGTTATTTAGTACGTTCATCTACATTAGTATGATTTTTATTGGGATAACTGCACTTTCGGTCCAACAACAATTTGACTTAGGCAACCATCTTAGCATGAAATATGTTTTTACAAGCGTTTTCCAGTTATATCAACAGCTTATCCTTTACGAATTATGTATATGACCTTCCTTTGAATATCGCTCATTCATCTTCTCAAAAATGAATACCACAGATGAGATAAGAGTTTAAGATATCCTAAGACACTTCACAAGCCAACTGCTAGGATGTGACTTCACAGATAGATGTAGGTACCATGTTAAGTTTGCTACTCGATTAACATCTTATACGGTATACAACTACGAAAATCAAACGTATAGAACCTCACAGTCTCAAACCAGAAGGCAGACGAAGAGTGGAGAATCAAAAATTACAGAAAGTCATAGGTATTTATAAACGTTAGCTTTTGTTATACCAAAATTATAATTCCGCCAATCCGCAAGGAGGCATGTTATGCAAATCTAATGAGTGCCTGAACAGGTCACATACATATGTGCAGATGGCTTCTACACACCGTTTCAGGATTATAGTTCGGTTGGTGCAACATCCTGGCAATTTTCCTGGGCTCAAGGATTATGGTTGCTGTAATACCAGTCTAGGGGTTAGTTAGAAATTTCCCAGATCAATAACTAACAACAGGGTTGAGAGGTGTTTCGAACTGGCAGGCCTGTTGTTTAGTCGGTCTGCGAATTTTACATTTAAGATATCTACCATCTCTAATTTAGTGAGATCTTTGCCATTTGGCCCTTTAAGAGTTCAGATTCCCTGGTTTCTAGGCTTTCTCCTAGCCATGAATCTGTGGAGATATCTGTAAACTGCTTGCATACCTGACGTTTAATTGAGTTCACCCTTGACCACCGATCGCTCGTCGCAATGCAACCTTCACAAAGCATACAAAGACTTATATTGGAAATCAGTCTTACAAACATAAATGTGAAAGTGCATCCACTGTTTCTATGTCAAGTGTGTCTCATAGCATAACAAGCTAGTTGAGTAACATTGGAATAAAGCTTGGCGCGTTTATTATTATTATTATTATTCACAAACATCTTATGAGTACATAAATGTTGTGAAGAAAGCATTTCGGGTTTCTTCAAAAAATGCAATAATACACAATTTTCAATAATGTCAGCATTATACTTGCCATATTTAAAAAAATTTAGAGTAATAATAGTAGAATATTAATAATAATAAATCGGTTCTGTGTAATTGAGAAGAATATTGAATTGAGTTTATAGAAGGAAATGGAGAAAATAAGGGAATAGAAATAAAGGAGACGTGAAATACGCAAACAGTCTAATAGGCGTGTTTATGAACACAGAACAAGAATAAACGACTATGTGTGTATCGTTAAATTAGTAACAAAAAATAATTAAGAAAAAATAACTTATAATTGCAGTAAGATATGACGCTAGAATAAATGTTTGTGCAGTTATAGTTTGGAGTGATGCTATGAAAGTCTCAATTATTAAGGGAAAAGGATAATGAAATATCAATATGTATGAGACGTATATGCAGAGTGAAGATAAAACACAAGTTATTGTCTTAATTACAAACTTCGTAATCTTAAGAATAATATTTATTTAGAGGAAAATAAGAAAGAAAAGAAGTGAACACTTAGTGAAAAGTTTTGATCCATGATAAGAATAATAATTGTGTAATGAATATCAACCTCAGAAGGAAACCAGCAATTGAAAAAATAAAGTAAAAATCCGTTAAAGCACTCGGGTGAATACATTTAGATTTATGTAATAGCATACAGAGTGAAACCGGATATTAATATAAATATTTGTGCAATAATAATTAAGAATGATGCTATGAAAGTCAAAATTGATTTTAAAGGACAATCTGGAGTTAAATATGCTTAGAAGGATAAGAAGATACAAAAAGAATATCTAATGTGTCGGGGAACTAATAATGATATTAATAACGGTAATAATGATAAACACGAACATAAGCAGATTTCATATATTAAGATAAATAGAAATAAAATAGACGTGGAAAGATTTAAGGGTTTTATTTTGCTTTTCAATCAATTAAATGGATGACAGACCTTGTTTGTATAAATCATTATTGAATACATTGATATTCAGTAGGTGACATAATCCACTTTCGGAAAGAAAATCGTC